CAAAAAAGATTTGTAATGTGTTGAAGAAAAATGCCTAACATTAATTTGATAATTCATTGTTTTAGAAATACTTTTAGAAAAGTTTGCTCTTTTTAAATTCTTTTGGGTTATGGATTTAATTTTTAAAAGACTGAAGTAAAAATGTTTTAAAAATAAATATCAATTAAATTGCTTTTGTTTGTGGCAGATTGGTAATTGAGTATCAATTATCAGTATCAATATTTTAAGATTTCAGGATCTAACTATATGCTTATGTTAAAGTGCAGTGCTTTGATTTTAAGTAAGAATTAGAAATTGCAAAGGAAAAGATTTTTTTTTTTCCCACAGAAAATCAGTCTTTAACCAGCTTTAGTCAAAGGTTAGATAACCAGCTTTGGTAAGGTTAGGTAAGCATCTAGCTAGTCATGTACAGCCACGTTTCAAGATAATTTGTAGGAAGACCATATTAAATCTAAAACTATGTAGATATTGGTTATGGTAAAAATATGGGTTATTGTGATCTGTGACTATTATATAAGACCTTGAATGTTTCCTTGAATTAAATTGAGAACTATTTAATTAACTTCTTTTGAGAAAGCTCTGGGGAAATAGGCCACACTCTGCCAGCATTAGATCAAATACCTTAGGGCTCAGAATCTCATAATATTTTAGCCCAGCATACTGTAAGCTAACCTAATGATAACAGGTGTAAATTCAAACCTCTTATAAAATTTTATATGCATTTCTAAATATATTAAAAGTTTAAAAGATATATGAAGGAGGCAGGGGATTGAGAATCAATCCAGCTCTTTGAGGAAATAGGGGGAAAAGTCAACACATCTTTCAGAAAAAGAAAAAAAAAGTATGACTTTATGGATAATCTTTTTTTTTCCTTTTGAAGTGCTAAGAGTACTGGGCCTTGGGAAATAAAATGTTAACATTAGTGATTATAAATCCAGATTTGTTTTGATTTGGTCCAAAAATCTGTGCCAATGGAAATCAGAATGTGCTCTGAGCATGTTCTCCTATCAGGGTAATTAGGTTAAATCAGAACCTATTATAAAAGACTTTTGCTATTTGGCATTGCACTTTTATTAGCTGTGTGACCCCCAAGCAAGTTACTTTATATATGTTTACCTCAGTTTTACTATGTTGTAAGGGGATGACAATGGCACCCACCTCTCAGGTTCATTGTGGGGATCACATGATTATAAAGTACTTAACACAATGCCTGGCATAGGGCAAATGCTATGTTATGTTAACTGTTTTTTTTATTATTTCTTTAATAAGATGCAATTACTTCATACTTGATAACTTTATATGGAGTTTTAGATGTGACCATTATACAGTGCCAATGGTGATGAGATGAATGATTTTCTATGTCAGATAATTTGGAAATGCATTCAGCTGAACTGAGGCCACCTGATTGGTAATGGATTTTGATTCAAGTTTCAAATAAATAATGTTGTGTATGGTATTATCAGGTTCTAAATTTTCTTCTATTGTGAAATTTGGTAATCAATTGTATCAGATATGCTGTTAGAAAAGGAACTTCTATTGTAATATAGATGATGTTAGATTATTAATTGTACCTTTAAAAGGAGGTGAAAAACATGTTTGAAAACTATTAGGTTATTTTATCACCCTGCCTACTACATGTTATAATATTTTGAAGTACTGTAATTTAAAAACTTATAAACTTCTAGGTTTGCCCATATATACATATATATATATATTTACCTAATAGTATTTTATTTTTTCTAATTACATGTAAAGATAGTTTTCAACATTCACTTTTATAAGATTTTGAGTTCCAAAATTTTTCCCTCCCTCCCCACCCCTCCCCAAGATGTCAAGCAATATAATTTAGGTTATACATGTACAATCATATTAAATATATTTCCATATTAGTTGTGTTGCCAAAGAAGAATCATAAAAAAAGGGTAAAAACACAAGAAAGAAAAAGAAAAATGAAAATAGTATGCTTTGATCTGCATTCAGACTCTGTAGTTCTTTCTCTGAACATGGATAGGATTTTTCTTCATGAGTCTTTCGGAATTGTCTTAGATCATTATATTGCTGAGAAGAGCCAAGTCTATCAAAGTTGATCATTGCACAATGTTGCTGTGTACAATGTCCTCCTGGTTTTGCTCACTTCACTCAGAATCAGTCCATGTAAGTCTTTCCAGGTTTTTCTGAAGTCTGCCTGCTCATCATTTCTATAGCACAATAGTATCCCATTATATTCATATACCACAACTTGTTCAGCCATTCTTCAACTGATGGGCATCCCCTCAATTTCCAATTCTCTGCCATCACTAAAAGAGCTGCTATAAATATTTTTTACGTGTGGGTCCTTTTCCCTTTTTATTATCTCTTTTGGATATAGGCCTAGTAGTGGTACTGCTGGGTCAAAGGGTATACACAGTTTTATAGCCCATTGGGCATAGTTTCAAATTCCTCTCTGAAATGGTTGGATCAGTTCACAACTCCACCAACAATGCATTAGTGTTTCAATTTTCCCACATTTTCTCCAATATATATTGTTTTCCTTTTCCTGTTAGCCAATCTAACAGGTGTGAGGTGATACCTCAGAGTTGTTTTCATTTGTATTTCTCTAATTAGGAGTGATGTAAAGCATTTTTTAAAAAATATGACTATAGATAGCTTTAATTTCTTCATCTAATAACTGTTGTGCATGTCCTTTAACTATTTATCAATTGGGGAATGACTTGTATCCTTATAAATTTAATTCAGTTCCTTACATAAATGACAAATTTTGTTTCTTCTATGTTTTATGTTTCTTTATCAGAAACACTGGATTTGACTGAATCTGAGAGGAAATTTCACCTGAAAATATTTGGCTATCCCTAGTGAAAATTTTGAAATTGTTAACTATGTTATTTGGAGTTATTATCATAATGTCAAAAACCTATCAAGTATTTACATAGGTATTTTAGAAAGGATATTGAGTAATTTTTTTCCTTTAATCTCCTGACTCTCTACTCCACTTCATCATACATTTTCTAGGATCAAAAATGGTAATTAAAATTAGTCTGAATTTGAGTGCCTTTTGCATTGTTTTTCTTTACCTTATTGTAGTGCTCTTGTATACTATTCTTTTGATTCTGCTTATTTTTACTTTGTCAGTCTATACAAGTCTTCCCAAATACATTATTTCTTATGGACCAATTCTATCCATAAGTTATATTTTTGTAACTATATTTAGTTTAGTTCTATCTATATATTGATATCTCTATTTAGAGAGGAGAGAAATAGGGGGAGAGAGAGAGAGAGAGAGAGAGAGAGAGAGAGAGAGAGAGAGAGAGAGAGAGAGAGAATAAGAATTTGTTTCCCAATTGCTTGGCACCCACTTTCTTTGTTTCCAGGTTTTTGTAACCATGAAAAGTACTCTACAAGTTTTGGTGCATAGGAAGAGTTCTTTTTTTCTTTTATTTCTTTGAGTATGTACCTAGTAAAGCAAACCCTGGGTCATAGGGTAGAGATGGTCTAGTGACTTTTACCCAATGAGGGAGGGAAGGAGAAAAATTTGTAACTCAAAAGCTTACCCAAATGAATGTTGAAAACTATCTTTTTTTAACCTTTAACAATTATGAATGCCTTTATTAAATCAATTAATAAATTAAAAATAAATCAATTAATTAATAATTTAATGTATTAATAAATTAAAAGCATTAAACTAAGAGCAGTAACTTTTCTTCTTTCCTTCTTCCCTTCCTCCTACTTACCATGACTTTTCTTCTCTTCATTCCTTCTTCCTCTCCTTCTGCCTTCCCTCCCTACTTCTTTTCCACCTTTCCCTCCTCCCTCCCTTTCTTCCCCCTTCCCCTTCCTTCCTCTTCCTTTCCTTCCTTCCTTCCTTCCTTCATTTCTTCCTTTCTTCTTCCCTCTCTTTATTCATCCATAAGGATCATCAAAAGGGAGTAAGTTTTGAGAATAGGGAATATAATTGTCCTATTTGCACCTAAATTATTAAGACTGAGTGAACTGGATTTGGGATCCAGCACAAAAGGGGTTAAGACTACTGCTAAACTTGTGCAAAGGGGAAAAGGGAGCCTAAACTACCAGGAATATAAAAATTTCAAGCTAAAAATACTGAAGCAACATGTGAACAGAGGATGGAAAGATTTGGGACTGTATGGGTTTGAATGTGTATGTAGATCAAACTTGTGAGAGTGCTGGGCTCACAAACTCCTTTTCCAACCTGGGTAATTCTTACCTATTATGTGTGAAGATTGAACAAAGTTTCTGCAAATAATAGAATTATATAGTTGGAACAAACCTGGAGATTTTCTCTCATTCATTAGGAGTGAATTTGGTGCTGGAAAGAACCTTGGAATTCATCTAGTACAGCATGAATTACTTCAAAACTGGACTTAGAGTTTGATGGGACTTGGGTTGGAATCCTTTCTCTAATACCTACTAGCTACGTAACTGTGAGCAATTTTTTAAATTCTCTGAGACTTACTTTCATCATGCATGTAGTACTTAAGTTGGTAGGGTTATTGTAAAGATCAAATGAGAAAATGTATGTAAAGGCCTTCGTAAACCTCAATTTACTATATATGCTGTGAACTAGATTATTGTGGAGATTAGATAAAGAATGTATTTAAAGGACTTTGTCAACGTCACTGTACTATATGTATTAACCAGTTTTATATTATGTTTGAGGAAGTTCAGGTCCAGAATGATGAAGTTGCTGCCCAAGGTCACATACCTGGTAACTTCCAGGAGTAGCATTCAAACCCAAGTCTCTTTAATCCCCAGCTCTTTCTGCTTTGAAAATACTCTCAAACCTTTATGCCAGGCTCAGGCCTTCTTTACCCATCTAGGAGGCCCATATGGCCTTAGTTCTGCTACCTTTCACTGAGTGGTATGATGGGCCCTTTAAGAATTAATGATGGAGAAGTGAAACTGTGTATTAAGAAACACTGCCTGTCATTACCAGTCTTGATTATGTAAGAGAGAGAAGGAAACTAGAATCATAGGCTGGACTTTTGCTTATTGGGACAGATCTCTTGGTCTGTAAGATACCCTCACTCTTTCTACTTTATATTTCTCTCCTGCACTGAAACCTGCAGGATTGTAGAAGTGTTTGAGATTGAGTGGCTTAGAAAATTTCAGAAAGAATGATGAGTAAACTGACAGAAATAAGTAAGGATTAGAATATGAAAAGGGGATATTAGAGTGGGAGACTAGAGAGGAGGAACCATGGGGGTATGATTTAACTGGAGAAACACTAAAATTTTGGGCTTGCCTAGGCTCCTTTCTTACTAAGGATGTCCCTACACTGACCTAGAGAAGAAGGTATTGAGTAAAGATTACCCAGAAAATCAAGGAGCAATCAAGTAGTGAATAAAGAGACAGTAAAGTGGTCTTGGCCTGCTGACCCTAATTTCCTTAAGATAAGAATTTTTTCTGCTATGTGCAATTGAGCCTGGCCCTGGGCAGATATGACTGAGAGTCTTCGCTGCAGACTGGTGCGATACTTAGAAGAGTTGACTGATGAGGAGTTCAAGAAATTCAAGTTATACCTGGAGGATTCTTCCCCTAGAGAGGGATTTCTCAGGGTTCCTAGGGGTCAGATAAAGAAAGCTGATAACACTGATGTGGCTGAACTCATGGTTCGTCATTATGGGGAATGCGAGGCATGGGATGTGGCCCTCATGATATGGGAGAAGATGGGCCTGAGAGAGCTATGGGAGCAAGCAAAGAGAGAGGACCCACAAATAGGTAAGTGTGGAGACATAGTCTTTGTGTACTGGGCATATTATCTTCCAACCTTTCTCTTCTATTGTACCACCTTACTGTACTCTCTCATTTCCCCCTTTTTTCCATGTCTTTTCTAACCCAACTTCACTCTCATCTCTTCTAACTAGCTTTTCATAATCTTCACCTCACTGTCTTCTCCTCCCTTCACATTTCCCTTACCTTCCTCCCTCCCTTTCCTTTCTCCCATCTCCTTCCTTCTCTGATATCTCTTACTGATTCCCTTCATTTCTCCCTCACTCTCTGCCCCCCTGCCTTTTCCATTACAGCTTCCATCCCTGGAAGACTCTCAATAGAAAAAAAATAGGATTTGAGAATGGGTTACTGGGCAGAAACATTGGGCTTGTTTTGCTCTTAGGGTCATTGGCCTGTCAATGACCTCTTACTCTAGGAAATGATGATAGTTTGCTTTGTGCTGTCTCCCCCATTATACTGTATGCCTCTTGAGGGCAAAGAATGTCTTTTTGCCCCTTTTTGTATCCCCAGTGCTTAGCACAGTGCCTGGCACAAGTAGGCACTTAATAAATATTTATTGACTGACTGACTGATTGATGATCTCCAGAGATAAGGAGAGATCCACTTTCCCCAGGCTTGGTCAAAGCTTAAGTATCAGTTGTGATCAAAGATAGAGAGGAAAGACTGAGTCATTGAGGAAATAAGTCAAAGTCTGGGACTGGGAGAGGAAAAAGCATTAGGGAGATAGAACAAAAATCAGGGGATAGGATGAGTTTAGCCCTGCCTCTGAGCAGAGATGAGACTTGGGCTTGGGAGAGCAGTCCCAGGAGTAGAGTAGCTAGAACAGTGAATGGTCTTGGGGTAAACTTTTCAGGCTCTATGTCTGATATCTGTTGTGCTTGAAGTATCATGCTTCTTTATACCCACTTCAATAAATATCCTCATGGTTAATCAGATATTGTGGTAAGGACTTCAGATTAATTTGGCTTGGTGTTTCTGCCATGTGTCATTGAGTTAAGAGATGGAGTCAGTGACAATAATAAGAGAAATGACACTCTAATGGGACCAGTGACAGCAGATGAGAAGGTGTGTCATGTAAAATCTTGGATCAAAAATGACAACTTTATCCATATGGATTCATATCCCATCTGACATTTGGTCTTCTGCACTGACCTGGAAATGACCATGGCCATTCTTGAGAAAAGAGTATAAGTTCCTTATGTCTTTCCAAAAAGAGAAAGTATCTCTATCAGTTGGAATGACTGTATTTAGAAAGGGAAGACAATGTCTTTGTGCATACGAGTTAATAACATAATGTAACTCTAAAGCCGATGCTAAAAATGGATGAGATACTTCTCTGAAACCAGTGTGGGAGATATTTCCTGGAATCCTGCATTTGGCCATGAATGGCCACTGAATGGCCATGAATGGCCATGAATGGCTTCCTTTCCATATTACACACAAATACTTCCCCATTAGAATGTGAACTCTTTGAGGGCAGAGGCTATTTGGATATTTGCTTGTTTGTTTTTGCCCTTCTTTGTATCCTCAGCAATTAGCAAAGTGTCAGATACATAGTAAAAAAAATGGCTGTTGATGAACTGATCATTGTCAATTCTGTAGGCAGAACCCAAATCCTCTCTACTATCTATGCTATTTCCTTTATCTTCTGTCCCAACATATAGACTTGGAGAATCCAGTTCTGTCTTCTAAGCCAAATAGGTAAGCTCATCCCTTTGAGGTGGGTAGGGCTTTGACACTAGGATGAGTCTTTCTTCTTACCCCTAGGCCTTTTCCAGGGCTTTTATGAGAATGATTCCCATGATCCTTTTGGAATAGTCTCTTTCTACCCATGTTTTTCAGATAAACTCCGCTGTAATAGCAGGATCCTGAGAGGGAAGAACAGTAAGTCAGATGGAAGAAAGTCGATATTTTGGGGACACGTTGGCAGACTATGGAAAAGGTGGTCGGGCCTGGACCACATGAATCAATGGGATGAAGGTATGGAGCAGGAACTGAAGAAATCTCTCTCTCTCTCTCTCTCTCTCTCTCTCTTTCTCTTTCTCTCTCTCTCTCTCTCCATATATATATATTTTATATATATATAATATATATATATATATATATGGGCAGCTTCATTAACTAGGAGCATGAATCAGTAAATGACAACATTCAGGAAACAGAAAACACAGTCATTGAATGTCAAGAAGGAGAAGCTGAAAGTCAGTGACCTGGGAAGAATTTTAAAAAGCAGACAAAATTCCCAGCAACAAGAACTTGAAATATGCCTTAATGATTAGCTTTAAGGCATTAGCCCAGGTGTAGAAGGGAGGAGTCAAGTGAGTCATATCAGGGAAATGTTAAATAGATTAATCTGAATAAAGAGCATTCAATTTAATTTTTAAAATATCTGGTAGTCCCATGTTCAGGGTGTATCCTAGGTGCTAGGATCTAGGAATTGAAAGATATGATATAATTAAATATTATAATATCATTTCATAATAATTATTATCAACAAAAAATATTATCACATATTTGCTTTCAAGGAACCATAAAATAAGTAAATATATTTAAAGCTCTTTATGAACCTTAAGGCATTATATGAATGTTAACCATTGTTGCTGTTATGATTGTTATTGTTATAAGATTATAGTACAACATTAACAGCATGGAACATGAGGAGATCTGTGTTCTCTTCATCACCCCTTCACAACCATAAAGGGGCAGTCAAAATTCTTGTAGTCCACATTTACTGAGCCTGGCTCATATAGTAGGACTTTGCAAAATTGATACTTTCAGGTTGCTGTCTTGGAAGACTTTTGTTCCTGAAAGGTTATAGTCAAGATGGTTATTGAGGGTTAAACAAACTTCCAAAGCCTGGAGGCAAGGTCTCCATAGCACTAGAAAGAGGGACAGGGAAACAGGGTAGAAGGGTGGGTTTTAATGTAAACCTGTGTTGTATCTTTGGATCTGCTAGTGCAACTGTGCTAGCAGTAGCGTAGGAAATGGAAGGGGTGCTGTGTGAACTCAGGGTCAGTGAGTGTCAGTTCCTGTTTTTTTTGTTTTTAATTTTATTTTGGATTCTGGGTGTCCTAGACCATGTAAACAGTGTAAATGGCTTTATTTTTGGCATATAATTTCTGGCCATATGTGGCTTTCCAGGTCCTTGGGCTGCACTTGAGGACCCAGAGGGCCACATGTGGCTGCAAAATGGTAGGTTCCCCACACCTGGCCATGGGTATCAAAGAAAATTTCTAGTTTGCCGTCTTGTTGATCACATGAGCTGGATGTTGATTCCTCCATTTCAATCTTAGAAAGTGTCCTTCTATTCTGCTTCTCTTACTCTTCCTACTCCACATTCCATTCCATTCCCTTCACCCCCATCTAGAAGGCCAATTTCCAAGAGTTATATGAAGTCAGGATGAAAAGTCTTGAAAGGGTAGTTGGGTATGATTTTCGTGCTATACCTAATTAGAGATCAACATTGTAGATGTTATTGTTAATTTTGTCATCTAAATATAATAATAATTCATAATAAGGGAGGTTAATATTTCTATAATCCTTTAAGGTTTCCAAAGAGTTATCTTTATTGTGCTTTGAGTGGCATGGTGTAGTCCAAGGAACACTGAATTGGTGGAGGTAGGGGGCAGGAGGGTTTATAGGACATGGATTTTGATCACAGATCTGCTGCTTGCTACTTTAAGCAAATCTTTAACTTCCCTGGGCCTCAGTTTTCCCCTCTGTAAAATGAAAAGGATGCCTAGATGATATCTCAAGTCCTTTCTAGTCCTATATCCTATGAAGAGGTGGAGGATACAAATATTGTTAACAGCCTTATTTTGCAGATGAAGATATTGAACCTCAGAGAGTTTCAATTACTGAAAGTCACATAGCTAATAAGTTTCAGATCTAGAATTTCAAAGGAGGTATTATGAATTTAAATCTAGAACTCTTTCTACTAACCTATTCTGCCATTCTTGATTTCTCTGTATGGTATTATGGCCATTTTTTTGTGTCCTGGACTCCTTAGCAGTGTGATCAGCCAGTCAATAATCATTTATTAAGTATCAACCATATGCCAGGTACTATGCTAAGTACTGGGGATAAGAAGAAAGGGGGAAAAAAGCCTATGGACTCCTTTTTGGAACAGTGGTTATAAAGGAGTAAAATAAAATACATAGAATTACAAAGAATACCAATTATCGTAAAAAAAAAGTGATTTTTTTTATTTCAGAAAACTCAGGTTTAGAATCCCTGTTTCTTAAAGCACAGGTCTGCCCATGTCACCCCTTGGTCAATAAAATCTAGTGGTTCCCTATTACCTCTGGAATCAAATGTAAAATACTTGGACTGACTTTCAAAGTCCTTTATAACATGCCCCTAATCTTTCTAGTCGACTTATACTTTACTCCCATCCTGACCTGCACCTACTCTTCAATTCAGTGGCAGTGACCTCTTTGCTATTCCTCAAACAAGATACTCTATCTCCAGAATTTGAGCACTTTTACTGACTGTCCCTTGTGCCTAAAATATTCTCCCTCTTCATCTCTGACTCTGGGCTTCCTTGTCTTCTTTCAAGTCCCAATAAAAATCTCACCTTCTACAAGAGACCTTTCCTCATTCTCCTTAATACTAGTACCTTTCCTTTGTTAACTATCTCCAATTTCTCTTATATAGATCTTGTTTGTACATAGTTGTTTGCATGTTGCAAACAACTCATTAGACTCATTAGACTGCGAGCTCCTTGAGACCAAGGACTGTCTTTTGCTTTTCTATCTCCAGTGCTTAGCACAGTGCCTGGCACATAGTAGGCATTTAATAAATGTTTGTTGACTTGACTTTTAGATGAAATGCCTGTTATACTTAGCACTTGCTACTGTGGGGATTAAATTTGGGTAATCATAAGATCATACTATCATGGCGTCCTAGACTGGAAAGGACCTCAGAAGTCATTTAGTCCAGCCCCCTATCGTAGCTAGTTGGGTAATGTAAGAAAGCTTACTGTAGGAAGGGATAACCATTAAACTGCAACTATTTGCTCAGAGCTAGTCAATGCCTAAATTGGAGTCAGTTGTGTAACCACTATAAGTGAGATCTAGTGGGGATGCTCTGGGTGCGTTACCTTCTAGCACTCAGGCCATAACTTTAAGAGAGAAGCATTTCCTCTCAAGTTAACCATATGCCTATTAGCAGGACAGAACATCTTCAGGAAACTTTTATCTAAAGAAGATAAAAACCAACTGCTAAGATTTAGTATGGGACTTGTTCTGAGCTTTTGCCTGGAGGGCATACATCCAGCAATAGGGAAGAGTGCCAATGTTGTGTGTTTTCCCTGGGAACAGGGAGAGGAGATGAGTGTGAATTTGAGCCATAATTCCATCTCCTCTATCCTCAAAGGGCCATCATTATGAAGTTGGAAGAAAAGTCCACATTTTGGTGCAACCAATGGGGTGCTGACTAAGAACAGATTTCAAGTTTTTTTTAAGGGGGGGAACTTTATAACAATTAGAATTAACTAAAAATGGAATAGACTTCTTCATTTGATAGTAATATCCCCATCAAGGGAGGTCTCACATAGTTCCTAGATGAGCATTTGTCAGGGATGTTGTATACATGAGAATTGTGATTTTAGGTAGATATTGGATAATATGACTCCTAAGATTTATTAAAACTCATTATTCATATATTCTGATTCTGTTCTCCAATTATCTCTCTGAGGAACTTACCGAAGAAAAGTTGATCTGGGAACTTCCTAAAGAGCTCACCATAATTTTATGACCTGGTTGTAGAGAGTTCACTGATCGTTAGAGTTCATTCTCAACATCTGTCTGTATTTTTTTATCTTTCATCTCACTGACATAGGTAACAGAAGAACATACAGAAACCGAATTATAGAGAAATTCCAGCTCATGAGGGATAGGAACTCTTGTCCTGGGGAATATGAAAACTTACACCACCGGTTCACACAGCTGTTGCTTCTACAAGAATATCGTTATAGAGAGCAAAAAGAACATGAGTTGCTGGCCAGTGGAAGGGAACATGCTGAGATCATGGAAAATCAAGGACAGCTTATAGAAGTTGCAGCTTTATTTGATCCCTATGAGAAGACAGGAGTCCATCCACAGATTGTTGTACTTCAGGGGGCTGCTGGGATTGGGAAAACAACACTGGCCAGAAAGGTGATGTTGGACTGGGCAGAGGGAAATCTCTACCAGGACAAGTTCCACTATGTTTTCTATCTCAGTTGCAGAGAAATGAACCATCTGAGAGAGAAAAAAACAAAGTTTGCTGATTTGATTACTAATGATTGGCCTTCTCTAGAGGATCCCATGACAGAAATCCTGTCTCAGCCAGAAAAACTTCTGTTTGTCATTGATGGTTTGGATGAACTGAAATTCTCGTGTGATGAGCACAGTTTTGATCTGTGTAAACACTGGAATCAACGGCAGCCAGTGCCCATCCTCCTGAGCAGTTTATTGAGGAAAACCATGCTGCCTGAGTCTTCTCTCTTGATCACTACGAGACTCACTGCTCTGGGGAAATGTGATTTTTTATTTGAAAACCCACGTCATGTAGAGATCCTAGGGTTCTCTGAAGAGGACAGATGGAAGTATTTCTGCAATTTTTTTGGAGATGAAGATAAAGCCCAGCAAGCCTTTAGTTTGATAGTTAATAATGAAACTTTGTTCACCATGTGCTTTGTCCCACTGATGTGTTGGATAATCTGCACTTGTCTGAAACAGCAAATGAGAAGAAAAAAAGATCTTAAACAGTCCTCCAAAACCACCACAACTTTGTACATGTGTTATCTTTCTAGTTTAGTCACCCCTGGTGGCAGGAGCTGTCCAGTTCAGCACCATAGGGGCCTCTGTCGCATGGCTGCTGAGGGAATTTGGGAGGGTAAAATCCTATTTGATGAAGATGACCTGAGGAGGCATGGTTTAGAGGCATCTGATGTCTCTGCTTTCCTGGATATGCACATTTTTCAAAGAGATACTGACTCTGAAAATTGCTACAGCTTCATTCACTTGAGTTTCCAAGAATTTTTTGCTGCCATGTTCTATGCCCTTGAGGAAGAGAAGGAAATTAGTGACAGCCCAACCCCTCCCATCCCAGGGGTCAAAGACCTTCTAGAAAAGTGCAGAGATTCTGCCACCAGCTTTGTGGCTCTAACAGTGCATTTTTTGTTTGGTTTCCTGAATGCAGACAACAGAAAGAGGCTAGAGGAGATATTCAGGTGTAAAATATCACAAGAAATAAAGATAGACTTATTGCAATGGATACAAGCAGGGATTGAACAGCAACATAGAGATTCATCTTTGAGGAATGATCTACTGGAAATCTTTTCTCATTTATATGAAACTCAAAATGAGGAGTTTGTGACATCTGCAATAGCTCACTTCTCAGAAATCAGTTTGAACATTTATTCCAAGTTACATTTTTTGGTTTCTGTTTTCTGCATCAAATTCTGTCATAATTTGGAGAGTATTCACCTCAACATAGCGTAAGTACTCCCCATGTTTCTTCTATGCATCATCCAGTCCCTTGGGCTTCTGTTTTTCATTTGCCCCCACAAGGAATTGAGTGTCAGTCTCATGTTGGGGAGATGGTGCTAATAGTCAACCTTAAGTCTTAGAAAAATATGCATCCTTGGTATATTCCATTCTGCTCTTTCTTTGACTGAGGTCAGAAGGTCCAGTGAACTAGAGGTTTCTGACTATGTTACATTATCTAGCTATATTTTGGTGCTGCCCTTATTCTTACCCTGGTCTTCTTCAAGCATTTTTCAGGAAAGAGACAAGTCCTTGAAAGTAAGCTCTCATGTCCATGAAAGCTCACAAGTACCTTGGGTATAATTGTCTTCTGGAGACTTACTAATACCAATTGAAATGACTGCTTCTTTGGTTTCCTTCTAACTTATTATAAACTGTTTGTTCTTAGAATCCTGTTTCACCCCAGGATCTGTATGGTGTAAGAAGAAATGAAGGAAATATGCATTTATTAAGAGTCTACTGTGTATCAGGAACTGTTCTAAACACTTTATAAATATTATGTCACTTGATCCTCACAACAACCTTGGGAGGCAGGTGCTTGTCCAGGGTGATGCAACTAGTAAATATATGAGCCTGGAATTGAACTCAGGTCTTCCTGACTCCAGGTTGAAAACTCTATCGACTGTGCCATCTAGCAGTCGAAAGAATATTAAACTAGGAACAGAGAAATATGACTTCTTATCCTAGCTGTCACCAACTATCTGACCTTGGGCAATTTACTTAACCGTTCTAGACTTCAGTTTCCTCATTTCTAAAATGAAAATATCGAACTAGATTGCCTCTGAGGTCTCTTCCAGCTCTAATATTTTAGAATTCTATGACCCAAGTAATCAGGATTGGTTTCAAGAAGTCACATTGTCTGGTGAGAGATATGAAGTAAACTATTATTCTGAGTATCTTCCTTCACAAGATAGGGAAGTTAGAAGTCCTTGGAAAAATTAAGAATAAGTCACAACAAAGATGATAACTCAATTCTACACCATTTTAATTTATAGCTTCCAAGGTGCTTTACCTTTAATTCCTGTATTCTTGATGTTATCACGCAGCAACAGGTAAGGTATTATATATAAAGACATATGTAAAACTTAAAGTGCTATATAAATGTTAGCTTATTCTTAGCTAGTATTATTTTTTGAATGTCAGAAGGTTTGGTATCATATCTTAACACTAAGACTATGTGCAAATTATCTGACTTTTATTAGTATCAGTTTCCTGATCTGTAAACCTTAGAGTGCCACAGAAATGAGAACTATTACAATGGCTATTGTCATCATGCCTTACATTTGCATTTAGCTTCAAAGTTTTTGAAATACGTTATACTTGATATCCAAAACAATTATTTAAGGTAGAAATGGCAGATAATATGATTTTAATTAAAAAAAATAAGAGTTGGAAAGCACGTCAGTGGCCATCTACTCCAAGCCATACCCTAAAGGAACTTTCCTATAACACATTAAGCAAGTGGTCATACTGTCTCTGCTTAAAGACTTCTAAGGAGGGGAAACACACAGCTGCTCAAAATAGTACATTCTGATTTAGGAGAGGTTGAATTGTTGGGAAAGTTGTCCTGACATTTAGCCTAACTTTGCCTCTTCACATTTTCTCCCCGTTGTTATAATTTCTTCCCTCAGAAGTAAGTGTGTCTACTCTTTCACATGGCATTCCTTGAAATACTTGGTCCCCCAAATCTTCTCTTATCCAAGTTAAAAATTCCAATTTTCTTTAACCAATTCTCATATGAAATATGCTCATGGTCTTCTATTATCATGGTTTTTTCTCCCTTTAATTTCCTCATCAATATCCTTATTATGCTGTTGTGCCCAAAACTGAACACAGTATTCTAGAATACCAGCTAGTAATTATTACCCATATTTTATGGGCAAAAAATTGGTGAATAAAATGTCATGGAGAAAATGAATGCTCAGGAAAGAAAGTGTGAAATTATGTAATGAATATGAAGTGAAGTGGTAGGAGAGTGGGAGACTTCTTAAGAAATGCACGAAGTGTGAAAATATCAAGAGAAAGGTGTACAAGAAGTTGTGAAGCTCCTCTATGAAGGATATATGAGGAAAATATACAAGAATCACATATGATGAGAAGGCATGGATGGGTTAAAATCTGCTTCTTCAAAGAAACTTACCACTATGGATTTCAGTTTTCCTATTCTGCTAAATATTTCTATTATGTTGGTCAAAAATTGTGATACTTGTTCCTTTCTAACTCTGTCTCTTAAGTTCTAATTTCCCTTTTGAACCATTCTGGATCATTATGTTGTGATACTACAATCTCTTTGGAATCCACATGGTTCTGTATCTCATTGGACATCAGTTAAATTTCCTCTGTCTTGAAATATTTAATCTTTGAGAACTCCTAGTACTCATCCTCGCTTCTAATTTTAGTATACTCTTGATTGATTTATCTTCACAGACTCTTTGTTGTCGTTCAGTTGTTTCAGTCTTGTCTGATTTTTTTTGTGACCCCTTTTGGAGTTTTCTTGGCAAAGGCACTGTAATGGTTTGCCATTTCCTTCTCCAGCTCATTTTACAGATGAGGAAACTGAAGCAAACAGGATTAAGTGGCTTGCCCAGGGTCACACAGCTAGTAAGTATTCAAAGCCAGATTTGAACTCAGATCTTCCTGATTTATTCACTGCATCATCACCTCGCTGCCCTCACGGATTCTAGCTTTTTATTTTACTTTTACCTTTTTGAAGCCTTTATTTTCCCCTCCTGTAATTTCCTTTCTGATTCATCATCTTTTAAGGCTGGGTTTACCCACCAAGGACAGGATCATGATGCTCCCTACCTTCCCAATATTGGGGAATTCACTTTTCTCTGGCTTTGGTCCCTGCCCCAGGTAGCTTCTTGGTGGACAGGAATTATACTATCTGGATTCCAATACCTTTAGGCCTGGTACAACTCTATATAATGGTTACCTTGTCTAGCTCTCCTTGTTTTTTAGTTTTAGGTTGGCTGAATTGGTGTCTGTCACTTCTTTGAGGTTTTGGAAAGGGCAATGCATGTTCAGGGCTATCTCTGCCACCTTAGGGTTCCCTAAGCTAAGGAATACCTCAGGCAGAAGGAAACTCAATCCCTCCCTCTCTGTATTTCTCTATTGTTCCTCACATGGGTAGACTAACTCTATGTCCATTGTTTGTTGCAATAGCAATGGGGAAACAATATGGGTAGGGTGCACTGGCAGAGTTTCTATAGTCAGAGGGAAATCCATAAGTGTGCCCCTAAGTACAAACCAATAAATCTTTTTTGTGTGCCATGCAGGAGATCCTTGGCTGGTTTGGGAAAGGGGTGAGTGAGTGAATGAGTTAAGGGTAAACAGTCTCCACCATTAATTCATAAGACAATTATCTTTTTGTTCTTGTTTTCTTTCTCATGTAGACTTTGATTCTTTTTTTATTGTCAGTGGCATCCTTAGGCTTAATGCTTATTAGTGGAATCTCTGGAACAAAGATGGATATGGATATGGATATCTTAGTTACTTTTTTTACACACTTACAAATTGACTTCTGTTTGCAACAATTCACAGCTCTACCAACAGTGTATTAATGTGTCCATCTTTCTACAACCCCTCTATCATTCATGTTTCTCAACTTACTAGTTGTGAGATAAGCATCATAGTTACCTGAATTTGTGTTCTTTAATTGTTAGTTATCTGAAGCAAAATGAATGCTACTTTATATGGGAAAATTTCATGATAGAAACTATCTGATTGTGTATCCCTCTCCTTCTTAGAGCAATAGGCCTTAATGTATTCATTCAGAAAGTCAAGATATATATATATATGTGTGTGTGTATATATATATAGTGTGTATATATGTATACATATATATACATATATATAGACACATATATGTGCCAGTTTCATGAATCCTTTTCCTCCTGCCCCATCCTGTGTGCTCTCTTAGCTGATGTTCATACATACTCAGATCAGTACCATCTGCCGTGAAACAGACTGAATCCTTGTTTATATGTATCTACCTTCAATTAGAATGTGGATTTACTAAGAGCAGGGAAAATCACACTTTTTATTCTTATACCTAATGCTTATCATAATGGTTGGCAGACAGCAAGCATTAAAAGTTTTTCCAATCTATAAAACTATGTGTAATTTCCCCAGGAATGATCTTTACCTCATCAGCTACATAACCCAGGGGCCAAGAATTCACCAGTATTCATCTCACACTCTGAATCAAAATAAATAGCCATAGGTACTTTTTGATATTAATTTAAAATTAATGAAACATCATGATAACATGATTTAGGAAAGTAACATTATTTATTGTGGAAAGAGTACTGGATCTATAGTAAGAGAACATAAATTCTAATTTAGGCCCTTGCTCTTACCCGCAAATTAACTTTGGAAAAGACACAAAATTAATCCATCAATCAATAAGCACTTATGTTTCAATCAGTATTTTAAGTTCTGGGGATACAAAAAACAAAAATGAAATATTTCCTGGTCTTAAGGATCTTATATTTGATCAGTAAATACATGGGTACATGTAATTATTTTTGCAGCATATAGATAATGAATGCAGAGTAATTTCACAAAGTGACACACTAACAAGTGGGAGGATCTGCAAATGCTTCATGTAAGAGGCAGCTCTTGAGTTGGGTTTTGAAAGAAACTAGGCATTCTAAGGTGGGGTAAAAATTAAATGCCTTCCCACATAAGACAATCTGTGCAAATGCATGGAGATGTCAAATGGAGATGTTGTGATGATGGATCCAGTATGGATGGACTATAAAATTTGGAAAAGGAAGAAACATGTAAAAAGTTTGGAAAGGTAGATATTTAACTTAACCACTCTGGGCCTCTGACCCATCACTGTAAAAGTATGCTGTTATGACTTTTTGTTATCCCCTCGCCTTTTATAGTGGAGGGTGGTTATTGACAAAGATACTGGAGTGGTTTACCATTTCCTTCCCCAGCTCATTTTACACATAAGAAACTGAGGTGAATGGGTTTAAGTGACTTGCCCAGAGTCACACACAGCTGGTAAGTGTCTGAGGCCAGATTTGAACTCAGGAAGATTAGTCTTCCTGGTTTCAAGCCCAATGCTCTATCTACTATACCACCTAGCTACCTACCATTTGCCCATCATTTGTTATGTTACAAACATATTCTATTACATTCATATATCATGATGTATTTAGTCATTCTCCATTAAGAGGACAGCCCCTTAATTTCCAATTCTGGGCTACCACAAAAAGAGCTATGATAAATATTAGTCCTTTTCCTCTTTGATCCCTTCGGGTTATAGGCCTAGTTGTGGTATAGTTAGCTCAAAGAATATATGTACAATTTAGTAACTTTTAGCCTGTTTGAAAATTAAATTGTATGGTTATCCAACATATAAAAAAAGATACATACCTCAATGCACCCTTGAAAAGGAATTAATAGTCATATAGTCATATCATTAATAATATCATGGTTTGACACTCTTTGAATAAAAAAACAAAGCTACTGTCCCTATGAATAATATTATTATAGTAATAATTTTGCATTATATGTTATATAATTTTATTATATTATAATCAGTGTTATTCTTATGGTTTTATCTTTATGTTATAATATGAAAAATATGGAAAGAATTTCCTCACTAAATATCTGAGCATATTATATTATTTTCATTGCATTTTTAGATCTCTATATTAGAAAATCATAATGAAGTCTTCATTTGATTTGAACAGATTATGACATAAGAAGATGACTTATGTAAGTTGTCTCATGAAAAGATTGTGTGAAAAGCTTAAGAATATTTTATAAACATAAGAAGTGGAAGTGTTACTGGAGGAAAGTGTGAAAAAGAGCAAGCTGTCTGAAAGTCACCTCTGTCCCCTGAATCCCTATCCTTTGGTGTGACTTGACTCTGTGGGGCTCTGATCGCCCTGGGAATAAGGATTGCCCCAGAGCCTGAATATTGGACAGTCAGGAGATAGAATTCAGGATCTAGCAGGTGGATGAAGGGACTAAAGAGGTCAAAGGTATGGAATTGGCAGGAAAGTAGAACCTCACATGGGCAGCTAGGTGACTCAGTGGGTAAAGCACTGGGCCTGGAATCAGGAAGATTCACCTTCTTGTATTCAAATTAGGCCTAAGACCAGCAGTGTGACCCTGGGCAAGTCATTTAACCCTGTTTGCCTTAGTTCTTTATCTGTAAAAATGAGCATGAGAAGGAAATCCCATACCACTCCAATATCTTTGTCAAGAACACTTATAATAGATGCTTTTGAAATAATTGGATGAAGAATTTTTGGTCTTTCTATCTCTCTCTCCAGTCGGTTCCAGCTGAAGTCACTTCAATTCACAGTTTCCCAACTTGCTGTGGCTGACTGGCAGCATCTATTTTCAGTGCTTGCCAAGAATCAAAACCTAAGAGAGCTGGACCTGAGCGGCACTGAACTTGCTAATTCGGTGATAAACGTCCTTTGTTCAGAACTGAGTCAATCTAGCTTTAAACTCCAGAAATTGAGGTGAGTTTGAGGTAATTCCCTGAAGGGCATACCATAAATGTGGGGGCAGGGAAGGTAACACGAAGGGCAGAGATGGGCTAGGGGAAGAGATCGAAAAGGAGGAGACGGCGCCTCCCTGCCCAGCCTGCGGCTGCTCCAACTGTTGGAAGGAGAAGACGCGCTCGGGCTCTTTTAGCGACGGGCGCGCAGCCGATCGCCAGCTCCCAGGTCCCCTGAACCGAGACAAAAAAGGGAGAGAGCAAGTCAGTGTCCACAATGTCTTCGCTTACTGACGAGAAAGTAGAGACTAGAGCTGTACACCCTCCTGCGGTAAAAGTTGGTGGAATGAGAATTGTGCAGAAACACCCTCATAGTGGAGATGCCAAAGAAGAGAAAGATAAGGATGATCAAGAACGGGAATGCCCCAGGCCACTTAAAGCAGCTGTGTACATCTCTGGTGTTATTGCAAGGGGCGACAAAGATTACACACACACACCCCCACCACCCCCCTTCCCCCCAGCCCCCGCTGCAGCTCAAGTGGCTTACCAAAAACCACACCCATCTACGGAAAAGCATCCTTCTCACTGGACGGCACAGCACATCCAAAAGCCCGGCAAGTGAAGGTCCTGCTACCACCCTGTCAGTATGGTTCTTGGAAAAGGGCACATGATTTCCTCTCAGGTTTGACATTTATAGAGCAACAAGAACTGGTCCAATTTTTTTTCTATCTCTAGCTCTGTAGAGAAATTTAAGACAAAGCAAACCAGTAGCTTCCTTTGCCTTACATTTCTTTATTTACTGCCTGCAAATAGATCAGACACTAGTGTGTCTTGTTCATCTAAATGCAAACAACACTTGAGTCTTCTCCCCCCTCACCCATCTAGTATCCTTATTCAATTTAACCTTATCTGCAGTTTTGCATAGGGAGTACAGTGATTTTTTTTTTTAATTTAGTTTGAATAGTTCTAAAGTTGCCTTTGGTTTGTACCATAAGTGAAGTGTGATATTTAAAAACAATTGTAAACCAATTTAGGGAAAAGATTAGGGGGAAAATGGGTCATTTTGTAATCTTATTTTTTGTCAGACACTAGAGTCTTCCCATGTAGTCCAGAGCAAAATGGGGAAGTCAGTTAAAATTTCACACTGTTCTTTCAATGCACAACCTGAACAGTTATATCCTTTAAGAGTCTTATTACTGGAGAATGAGAATCCAAGAAGTCTTACTCAAAATGAAGCATTTTGCTTTGAGTCACAGGACTGGAGAGTTTGTTGTATCCCAGAAAGTCCTGGCTTGAGAAATAGATAAACTTATGCATCTCTGTAATTACCTTGTTAGCTTGGATATGAGAAGGACTCTTAGGACACTACCCACATTGTGGTGGGGAGTGGGAGGAGAGATATATGGATAATGTTTAGAAAAGTTTAATAAGATTATTTAAAGCAGGGGAGAATAATAGGTAAAAACCCACCAAGTTCACAAAGAGATCCCCTTTTCTTCCAAAGGGAGATTAATCTCATTGTCAAGGAAACACAAATACATTTCACTTTAGTTGGAGCAATTGTTTGTGGACCTCACAACTGTGGTCAGACTTTCCATTGCCCTAATTACATAATTACTCCCACTAATGTTTAAGTGTTTGATGTTATTCTGAGTTATTTTGTGTGTGATTCTTGCCAGTTGACATTTGTAAGACTGCTGCTTGAATGATTACTATACTATTTCCCTATTGGAAAATAAACTCATTCTGGTTATTTGCATGTGAAAAAAGGTCTCCCAAACAACACACTTTTATGGAGAAAGTATTGCCTTGTTAGTTATGATACTAGCAGTCTGTTTTGAAGCTATTTATTGCTGCAGGTTAGAAATAGTACTATGATTGGCCTCCTGCCTACAACAACAATCATCTTCAGATAAAATGATGTACTCCACATCCATCAGTTGGTAGAAACACTTGTCACTCTCCCTTGATCAATGTTTCTTAACTGTCCTCTCAAAAAAGAATGTTCACACTTCACTTTGGTTCATGTTTTCAAGAAAACTTAGCGTTTTCTTAGCTCCAAATTAACAGCAGACCAGTTTTCTATGGCAGTGACATTGTATCATCTATGTTGTTTCATAATGGCAGAAGTATTAATGTGAACACTTTCTGCCTCTGTAAGGCACTGTAATTTGTCATTACTTCACAATCAGAACACATACCCAGAGGCTTGCTGGTTGATATTCCTATGGAAAATGTGCCTAAAGACTTGGAATCTCCTCAGAGCTCTGTTCAGAAATAAACATTTCAGATAGCAAGAGGAGAGCTTTATAACACTTGGGAAAACAATTGGAAGTAGATTCAATCTAGTGCAATCTATATATCACACCCTCTGTTATAAGTATAGTTTAGGAAGCTTCTCCCATGTCTTCTTCAAATCTCCACTGAGAGATATCTGGAAATGATAGACTATTATGTATCCAAAATTTTCGTTTTACATGTATCTTAGATGTAGTGTGTATCCAAATGTTCCAAATCATTGAAAAGAAACAATTATATCAAATGTTTCCTTTTATAGTTAATCATTTGTGTTTTTCAATAATAAAAATTGTGCTGCCTCCCCAAAAAAATAAAAAGAGGAGAGGAGATACAGAAGAAAAGTAGGAGGCAAAAATGGAACATTTCAAAGGGAAAAATGTAGAAAATGAGTGGCGAGGAAAAGGAGTCATTTGTTTTAGAACTGGAAGAGACAGGAAGCTGAGAGCTGGAGAATGTGATTGCCCAAGCTGGTTACACAGGTAGCAAGTGACACATGTGGGATTTGATCCAAAGCCCTCTGAGAAGACAGAGGGAAAGAGGATCATCAGAACAGTGGCTCTTGAGAAAAAAAAGGTTTTGGACAACTAGCATGTTCCAGAATGAGTTCCCTGTTATTGAATATCGTTGTGTAGGTACCTGATGGTTGCTTATCAGTAACATTGTAAAGGAGATTCCTGTTGCTGTCAGGACTAGGTAACCTCTGAGGTAGATGCCTATAACACCAAGATTCTGTGATCTCTGGTCTTAAAGCTCTTCACAAGTTAACCACTTCCTTTCTAGTCTTCCTATACTTTATTTTCCTCTGTATGCTTTATGATTCAGCTTAATTGGCCTTTTGATTATTTTTTTTTCACAGCACTCTATCTCCCAACTCCTGCCTTTTATTGGCTGTCTTCCAAACCTGAAATGTTCTCCCTCTTCATCTCCACCTTCAGGCTTCCCAGCTATCCTTCAAGATTCAGATCAAACTCTACCTTTTTTAGGTCTTCCTAGTCTCCTGAGCTATTAGTGCTTTTCCTCTGTAATTACCTCTCATATACACTTGTATATATCATATATGAACATAGTTATTGACATGTTGTCTCTCCAATTAGAATATGAGCTCCCTGAGGGCAGAGACTTTATTTTTGCCTTTTGTATCTCTGGTCTTTAGCACAAAGCCTCACACATAGCGAGCATTAATAAGTGCTTGCTGACTGACTGATTACGCTATATTTGAGACCCATGAATCATGATGGTAAGTCTTTTCCTTGGAAGAACTACTGGTAGGGGTTGAACTCTTGGGAAAGAAATTCATTTCCACTCTGAACTTTGTCTTTCTTGCAGTTTGTCCAAATGCCAGCTCACTGCTTCTTGTTGTCAGCTCCTCTCCTCACTCCTTAAGAACCACAGAAGTCTTATATATCTGGACCTAAGTATGAATTTCCTTGGGGATGAAGGAATGAAAGTAATATGTGAAGTCTTAAAAAATAAGAACTGTAATATACAGGATCTGAGGTAAGTCCACACAAATTCTCTTTGGGAAGAGTCCTTTGTGTATTTAGAAGCAGGCTAAGAGAGTAGAACGAGGGAGGGTAGAAGAAAAATGTCTCCACACTCATCTAAAAATTAGAAGAGACCTCAGAGATCATCTGGTTGAACCCCTCCACAACTAGGAATTTACATCATCCCTAGCAAAAGATCACGTGGCTTTTTCCTGAATACCCCAAGGAAGGGAAAATCTAGCAACTACCAAGGTAATTTTGGATTTTTTTTAATTGTTAAGGCCCTTCTGTTGCCATCAAGTTCTATGAGTGGGAATGTCCTGTTTCCTCCTAGGATTGTCCTCTTTGATTGAGAGATTTCTCCTTCTTCCAACCTCCCTAATATGGGCATTTCTGGGGTAGAGATGAATAGGCCTCTGTAAATAGGGACTCTAATCAGGTCTGCTTCTTAGTTCTCACTGACCAACACTCACTGTCCTGGAACAATGGCACTATTCTAGGAATTGATCCAAAGGACTCCTTTATACTTTTCATCTTTCATTCTTTACTAAAACTTCATGCTCAGACACTAGCTAGAGGCATCAAATGTTGTGATTTTGCTGGATTCCTAAATTATCCTGGATTCTTAGGTTCAGTGTTATGCCATACTTTCTCCAAGTAACTGCTCTCCCTATTTCTCCCCATTTTGTTGGTCACGGCCAACCTTTGGGTAACCCATTCCTTGCACTCTTTCCATATTCTTTCCCTTTTCCATATACTTCAGGCTACAAGAAAATGTTTTCTATTATGTAGTGGTTTGTTTTTTTTGTTTTGTTTTGACACAAGCAAAAGGAAAAAAGGGATTCAGAATAAAATATACCAGCATTGGATGTGATGGGGCTTTAAAGTGAGGCAGGAAAGGGATGATGGGATTTTGGAGAGCAAGCCTTTGAACTGATAATGATAATGAGGAATTGAGGAATTCCTCACTCACATTCATACACCTTATTTATCTTATCTATTGTGGAATCTTGTCCTACTGTCACATCACCTCTTGCACATATCCTGTTCTCTCCATTCACAGAACCACCACCCTAGTACAGGCCTTTATCTCTTCTTACCTTGACTATATTGCAATATTCTTCTAACTGGTGTTCCCGCTTCAAGTCTTTCTCCACTCCAACCATTTCAGCACTTATCTACAGAAGTTATTTTCCCAAATCAAATGTCTGACTATATCATCCTGCTACACAATAAACTCCAGCAGCTCCTTGTCACCTCCAAAAAATTAAGTATGAAGTCTTCTGTTCTGCAGTTAAAGCCCTTCACAATCAGGCCTGTTTTTACATTTTCAATTGTATTATATTGTACTCTTCTCCAAGTAACCTACAACATATAGACACTGATCTACGTGGCATTTTTGGCACGTGACACTCTATATCCCTAATATGTGCCTTTCCACTGCTTTTCCCCCGTGCCAGGAATGCTCTCCCTTATCTATTCCACCTCTTAATTTTATTGCCTTAGGTGTTCTGTTAATACTCAGTCTAAATGCCATCTTCTAAAGGAGGCCTTTACTGGTCTCTCTAAAACCTCTTTCCTTTCCCTCACCTCCCCAGTTCTTTCTGTCTTCCATCTACTCTGTGTATATCTTGTTATGTATCTACTTGATTATGTATTATCTTTCTCATTAGTCTGTGAGCTCCTTGAAATCAGGGAACAGTGGTTTGGTTTGGTTTGGTTTGGTTTCTTCTGTTCTTTGTATCTCCAGCACTTAACATAGTGCTCAGAACACAGTAAATAATCCATAAATGTTTATAGACTGTTTGACTACTTGACTAACTGATGGTCAGGGTAAGAGATCAATGACACTAATGCTCTGTGTCTTTGTAAAGAAACCATGGGCACAATCCCCATGTAAAAGAGAATAGACCTGGTGGGCTGATGGGATTATTTCTTACAGGGGATATCTCTCCTACAGGTTGTCCAGATGCCACTTTTCCAATGCTTGCTGTAAGAATCTTTCCTCTGCTCTCAAGGCCCATGGAAGAATGAAATATCTAGATCTGAGTGAAAATAACCTTCAGGATATTGGAATGAACCTGCTTTGTGAAGCCTTGGGAAATCCAGACTGTAACCTTCAGGAACTGAAGTAAGTCTTTCACCAAAGAAGACTATTTTAGATTTTCTAGTGAGCAGAGAAGAAGGGGAGATGCCTAAAGAGAATGAAGTCAATTAACAAGGAACTTATTAATCAGTTCAGGATTTGGGCTTTTTTATAAGCAGTTTGATAGAGGTTATACATGTGTAGTTATGCAAAATGTATTTCCATGTTAGTCATGCTGTGAAAGAAAACACACACACAAAAAAACACAAGAAAAATAAAGTAAAAAAATAGCTCATTTTCCACACCACATCAGTTCATGTGTCTTTACAGCTTTTTTTGAGACCATCTTGCTCATCATTTCTTATAGTACAATAGTATTCCATCACAATCATATACCACAATTTGTTTTTCCATTCCAATTCTTTGCCACCATAAAAAGGACTGCTATAAATATTTTTGTAATATTTTTCCTTTTTTTTATCTCTTTGGGATACAAACCTAGTAGTAGTATATTTCCTTTTCCTTTTCTTAAATCTCTTTGGAATAGAAACCTAGTAGTAGTATTTTCGGGGGGTCAAAGGGCATGCTCAGTTTTGTAGCTGTTTGGGCATAGTTCCAAACTGCTCTCCAGTATGACTGAATCAGTTCACAACTCTACCAACAGTGCATTAGTGTCACAATTTTCCCCCATCCTCTTTGACATTTGTCCTTTCCTTTTCTCTCATATTAGTCAATTTGATAGATGCGGGGTGCTACATCAGAGTTGTTTTAATTTGGATATCTCTAGTCAATAGTGATGGAGAGCATTTTTTTCATGTGACTGTATATAACTTTGAAAACTGCTCATTCATATCCTTTAATCATTTATCAGTTGGAGAACATTTCTTATTTTTATAAATTTGACTCAGTTCTCTATATATTTGAGAAAGGAGTCCTTTATCAGAGAAACTTGCTTTAAATATTTTTCGAAGTTAAATACTATGTAGTTCCCTCCATCCTATTTTCCCCCTGTTAATCCTATCCTCTCTTTCCTTGTCCCCTGTCCCTCCTCAAAAGTGTTTTGCTTCTGACTACCTCCTCCCCTCATCTGCCCTCCTTTCTTACAGCTCCCTTCCCCTTTTCCTCTCTGTTTCCCCTCCTGCTTTCCTGTAGGGTAAGTTACATTTCTATACTGAACTGACTGTGGAGATTATTCCCCCTTTGAGTCAGTTCCAATGAGAGTGAAGTTCAAGTGTTCTTCCCACCAACTTCTTCCATCTTTCCCTTTCTCTTTCATGCTCTTTCATGCCTATTTTATGCAAGATAATTTACCCCATTCTACCTCTCCCTTTTACCTTCTCCCAGTGCATTCCTCTTTCTCACCCTTTTTTTTTTAGATATCATCCCATCATATTCATTCTATCTATGTATGCTTCTTCTACCTTCCTTAATAATAAGAAATTTTTTAAACATTACAAATTTTATCTTCCCACATAAGAATGTAAACAGTTTAATCTTATTAAATCCCTTAAGATTTCTCATTCCTGTTCACATTTTTATGCTTCTCTTGGGTCTTGCATTTGAAAGTAAAAATTTCAATTCAGCTCTGATCTTTTCATCAGTAATATTTGAAATTCTTCTATTTCATCAAATCTCTGTTTTTCCCCTGAAGGATTATACTAAATTTTGCTGTATAGGAGCTTCTTGGTTGTAAACCTAGATGTTTTGTCCTCCAGAATACCATATTACAAGCCCTCTCATCTTTTAAAGTAGAAGGTGCTAATTCTTGTGTTATCCTGATTGTGGATCCATATTTAAATTGTTTATTTCTGGCTGTTTGCAATATTCTCTTCTTGACCTGAGAACTCTAGAATTTGGCTATTATATTCCTAGGAATTTTCATTTTGGGATCTTTTTCAGGAGGTAATCAGTGGATTCTTTCAGTTTCTATTTTACCTTCTTTCTAGAATATCAGGGCAATTTTCCTTGATAATTTCTCAAAATAAGGTGTCTAGTCTCTTTTTTTGATCATGACTTTCAGATAGTCCAATAATTCATAAATTATCTCTCCTAGATCTATTTTCCAGATCAGTAGTTTTTCTTTTCTTTATTTTGGCTAGGCAATGGGGTTAAGTAACTTGCCCAGGATCACACTGTTGGTAAGTATTACGTGTCTGAGGCTGGATTTGAACTCAGGTCCTCCTGAATCTAGGGCCAGTGCTCTATTTGCTGTGCCACCTAGCTACCCTGATCAGTTGTTTTTCCAGTGAGATATTTCATGTTTTCTTATTCTTTAATTTTGTTTTATTGTTTCTTGATGTAACATAAGTCATTAGCTATCATTTGCCCAATTCTAATTTTTAAGGAATTATTTTCTTCTGTGAGCTTCTGCAACTCCTTTTCCATTTGGCTAGTTCTACTTTTTAAGGAGTTTATTTGGTGAAATTTTGTATGTGTTTGGGGCAGCTAGGTGGCACAGTAGATAGAGCTCCAGCTTTGGAGTCAGTTGGACCTGAGTTCAAATCCAGCCTCAGAAACTTGACACTTACTAGCTGTGTGACCCTGGGCAAGGCACTTAACCCCAATTACCTCACCAAAAAGCAAAAAAATAATTGTACATGTTTTACCATGTGGTTTTTAAGACATTCTTCTCTTCAGTGGAATTTTTTTTTGCCTCTTTTACTATTTGGCCTCTTCTGTTTTTTAAGGTATTATTTTCTTCAGTAATTTTTTTGCCTCCTTTACCAAGATGTTGACTTTTTTTTTCATAATATTCTCTCATCAATCTCATTTTCTTTTCCCAATTTTTCTTCTACCTCTCTTATTTGATTTTAAAAATCCTTGTTAGGCTAATATGACAAAAAATGGAAATTATAACTGTTGGAGAAGATGTGGGAAAATTGGAACAAAAACCTAGTGTTGGTGGAGTTGTGAACTGATCCAACAATTCTGGAGAATAATTTGGAACTATGCCAAAAAGGCTATAAAACTGTACATACCCTTTGATCCAGCAATACCTTTACTAGGTCTATATCCCAAAGAGATCATAAAAAAGGGGAAAGGATTACAAAATATATATATCATCTCTTTTTGTAGTGGCAAAGAATTGGAAATTGAGGGGATGCCTATCATTGGAGAATGGCCAAACAAGTTATGGCTAATGAATGTAATGGAATACTATTGTGCTATAAGAAATGGTGAGCTGGCAGATTTCAGAAAAACCTGGAAAGACTTACATGAACTGATGCTGAGTGAAGTGAGCAAAATCAGAAGAACATTGTACACAGTAACAGCAACATTGTATGATAATCAACTTCGATAGGCCTGGCTCTTCTCAGCAATACAATAATCTAAGACAATTCCAAAAGACTCATGATGGAAAATGCTATCCACATCCAGTGAAAGGACTATGGAGTTTGAAAGCAGATCAAAGCATTCTATTTTCACTTTTTTGGTTTCTTTTTTTCTTTCTCAGGGTTTTTCCCTTTTGTTCTGATTTTTCTTTCACAACATGACTAATGTGGAGATGTGTTTAATATGATTGTACTTGTATAATCTATATCAGATTGCTTGCCTTTCTTGGGAGAAAAATTTTGGAACTCAAAATCTTATAAAAGTGAATGTTGAAAACTATCCATATATGTCATTGGGGAAAAAAATATTATTAAGTGAGGTGGGGGGTGGGTCCTTTTTGAGCTCTTCCATGACCTGAGAACAATTCACATTTTTCTTTGAGGTTATGGATGTAGCAGTTTTGACTCTGTTGTTTTCTTCTGAGTTTGTGTGTTGATCTTCTCTGTCACCATAGTAACTTTCTATGGTCAGGTACATTATTGTTGTTTGCTCATTTTTTCCAGCATATTTCCTCACTTCATGCACTAAAGTTGTGCTCTGCTTCTAGTATAGAGATGATATTGTCCCAAGCTTCAGGTATTTTGTGCAGCTGTTTTCAGAGCTAATTCTGGTGGTCTGTAAATTTTAAGTTCTTCCCAGATAGTAAGATCTAAGGAGAGGGTGTGTTTACCACTCTCCTGGCTTGTGCTCTATTATGTGAGTGACCACAAGTATTCTTTTCTGCTATGAAACCATGACCAGGGTTCCTACTCCTCAGCAGATGCAAGCTCTGGTGTGCTAGTGCTCCTATTCATCCTGAGCTTATAACCAAGTACTCCAATTTGGATCCATGAATGGGCTATGCAACAGAGTCCTGTATCCCATGCCAACAAAAAAAACTCTGTATTCTTCTGATCAGTTGCCCAACCCCCTTACTCTTTGTGGGATGAGACAGATCTATTGTCTATTGCTGTTGCTATTGCTTCAGCAACCCCCCTTCTGGTTTGCTGAGGCACGACCTGTATTACACTCTTACCCTGATGTGACAGATCTTTCCTATTACCCTTTTAAGTTGTCTTGGGCTGGAAAATTATTTCACCCCATACTTTTGTGGGTTCCACCACTCCCAAATTCATTTTGAGGCATTATTTAAAGTTGCTTGGAGGGAAATTTGGAAGAGCTCAGCCAAGTCCTTGCCTTTTTTCTGCCATCTTGGCTCTACCTCCCTATGTATGTTTTTCTTAAGACATGTATAGAAGTGGAAGCAAGGGAAAATAACTGAAAATGAATTCAAGAGTAGCATAGTCCTTTAAGAATTGTGTCAAAAGAGTTAATAAGACCCCTTAAGAGAGAAAGTTGGCAATGAATTCTAAAGATAATGAAAAAGATTTTGTTTTAGTCTTGAATGAGAAAGGAGGATCAAGGAAGGAATAAGACCACCCTTTGGAGGTAGGTGGAATGTTGATAAATGATATGAAAATGAATACTCATAATATGAATAATTCAAATATGCATCTGAAGGTCTTTCTACTAATGGCTTGAAGAATTTGTCATTTCTAAATTGAATTGTCAAATTTAAACACTATGTGTCTTTCAGTTTGCAACCTTTTTTTATCTTGAGGTGGTGTATGAATTATTTCATTTGGAATTTAATTTTCTATGTTTAGAATTTCTAAGAAATTCTTCCCATTATTATAATGTTGAAATTATTTATTTCCTCTCATGTTCTTTTGGGAGATCCTTAGATTGTGTCTATGCATCCTGTCCTCGAGTTCATTATGTGTTGCTTGTATGGTAAGCTTATTTTCTTTTATTTTCTTTTTGCTTCTTTTCTTCTAAATTGTCCTTCATTTCTATGTATTTGCATTCCCAATCTATTGTGCTCTCCTTTGCTTCTTTGATGAGGCTTACAGGCTTTGCAGATTCAAGTTGTTTTTGTTTCATTTTGGTTTTTTGTATTTTCTTTGCTGTTTTTGCTATACAGGACATAAATTCTGCTCTCATAATTCTCATTTATTTTTTAAACCATTCAGGAATAGCATGTTGTCTTTTCATATTCTCTTAAAATTTCACAGGGTCTTTTGTCTTAACAAGAATTAGATCATTTTTTTCATTTTGAAGTACTTATTCATAAATGCACAAACTCATTTACAAAATCTGGAGATCATACTTCTTTCTGTTATTATTTTTTCCTGTTGATTTATCTATTTTGTTTAAGGTCTTTGAGTTTTCTTCCTCCTGAAATCTTCTATACTTTCAGTCTTTCTTCTCCCTTGTTTTCCCTTATTACTCAGTTCTTGACTCCCTCTCCTCTGATTTTGACTTTCTTAGGGGATGGAACTCAAAACGTCGCAACCTCCCCCTACACTGGGTGTTTCATGATTTACATTACAGGCTTTTGGGTATTAAGAACTGCCCCAGCCTGGTGCTGAGCTCTTTTCTTCAGATTTGGTGGAGTGCTGCACAGCTTCCCACATGCACAGTGGGAGGTAACCTATTCTGCTGATCTATTCCACTCCCACAGTTCATTGTTTGGGCTAGATGGGGAGAGGGCCATTTGGCTGTTGCTTCACATAGGGCCAAAGACACTAGGGCAGTGAACTATTTCATGGAGAGAGATAGCTGTCTAAAGAGTATTAAAGAAACCATTTCTCTTCTGGGGTTCTCTTCCCTGAAGGCTGTCTCAGTGCCATCTTACTGCTGCCTGTTGTCAGGATCTCTCTACTTGCATCAAGAATCAAAGCCTGATACATCTGGATGCGAGTGGCAATGTTCTTCATGATTGTGGCATGAAGCTGCTGTGTGAAGCCTTACGACACCCTTCTTGTAATCTACAGAAATTGATGTAAGATTCCTCAGGTTTCCTTTTTGTACTATTCTCTGCAAATCTGGCATCAGGAAGAGACTATTTGAGAAATCAGCATGAATTATAGTAAAAAAAAAAATCTAAAAGTCTGATGTGTGTCAAGAATGGGAATTAAGGTCATATACTGTATGCCTTTGCCCAAAGTTTAAGGTCCTCACCATCTCTGCAAGAGAAGTTGAAGGTGAGGCTGATCCTCACATAGTATCCCACCTCCTGTCTCTGTACCTTTGAGGTAGGCTATCCCACCTGCCTGAATCAATTCCCTTCTGACCTGCATCTCTTAAAATCCTAGCAACCTTTAAGGGTCAATCTAAGCACCTACGTGAGGTCTTTCCTGAATGCCTCATGTGCTAGAGCCAGGCTGCCCTTCGTATTATCTCATGATTACTTTGGATATATCTTATATCCATTTACAAGTCTACATGTTTCCACCCCTTTATATTATACAGTGTAAGATCCTTGAAGACAGGAATTGTTGGGATTTTTTTCTTTGTTTTGTTTTTGTTTGTGTTTTTATTTTTTTTTTTTTTGCTTTGTTCACCCTGGCTCCTAGCACTGTACCCAGCACATAACAGGAACTACTAAATTCATGTTTAACGGTTGACTGACTGATCAATGATCCTATCCTATTTGTTATGTTTTTATTATTAACAAACTTTGCTGATTAAGTGGGAAATGTGCCTTATTCCTTCTGATGTCTTTCTTGATCTTACCTAGTAGTTTCAGTGGAATGAGTAGTGATTACTATTGTCTCTCCCACCATCCTCCTCCTGGAGGCAGTTTCTGTTTGTTCAGAGTCAACAGGGCCAGGAAGAAGGCAGTGAAAGAATTATGGGTAGTCATTCTACATATCATCAATAAATGGCACTGAAGACAAGACAACCCTTGGTCCTGGAGCTAAGACTTACAGGGAAATCCTTCCAAGGGTCACTGTTACCTTATAGGTCCTAGGTTCAAGGAAGCCCCTATTTGCAACTAAATAATCCTGTTTTCAGAACTCAGTCTAATAAATCAGTCAGTCAATATGTATTTATTGTGCCAGGTTCTATGTTAAGTGATGGAGATACAAAGAAAACAAAAATGCCCTTGATTTCTGGGACTGTACATTCTACTAGCGGGGAGAGGAGCGATGTATAAATAACTGCGTAATACATAACATATACAGAGTATATGATAAAGAAAGATACTGGTATTTGGGGGAAACTAGGAAAGGCCTCTTGTAACAGATAGGACTTAAGCTGAGTCTCAAAGGAACCATAAAAAATGAAGGCGGGATAAAGTGGGTCCAATCCCTTAAACCTTCAGGAACTATCTTCAATTTTTTCATGTCAAATCTATTACCTGGTGCTCAGGGACCTACATACCAGGGCTCATCTGATTTTAACTAGATCTTCCTCCTTCCCCTGCAGTGGATGAATCCCTTGAAAAACTGTGGCATCACTTGCCACACTTGCTGCTCTACTTGTGGCCTCCTTTATGTGGTCAGCTCTGTTCAGATAAGGCTGGATGTGCCCCACTCTGTGCTTTTATAATAGCTTCTATCTAGGACATATTAGAATGTATTCCCTCCTCATCTAACTCCTAGCTTCCTGGTTTCCTTCAAGACTCAGCCAAACTCCCACTTCCTACCAGAGGCCTTGTTTTACCATTACTAGGGCTTTCTTTTTATAATTACCTTCCATTTACACTGTACAATCTTATATAACATCTTAGTTCCATCCCCATCTACATATAATTCTGTCTCCCTTAATAGAATGTGAGGTCCTTGAGAGCAGGGTCAGTGTTTTTGCCTTTCTTTGTAACTCTAGTGCTTAGCACAATGCCTGGCACATAGTAAGCACTTAACAAATGCTTGCCAATTTCCCAGAAAACCAGAAGACCAATTCGAAGGCAGTTTCTAAGCCTGAGGCTAAGAAAGAAATTGATATTTGAGCTAAAAATTAAAGATTTCAAAGTGATAAAAAAAAGGGGAGAAGAGTTGAAAGGAATCATTATGTCTTAGGAGGATGCAAGGACAGGGGCAGGGGCATATTGTATGTAGGACTAATGACATGGGGAATGCCAGCTCCTTCTAAGATGAAGATAGGGAAAAGATCATTTCCCTCATGAAAGCCTTTCTCTTGCAGGTTATCCCTGTGTCATCTCACGGATTCCTGTTGTCAGGATGTTTCCTCTGTTCTCAAGAGCAACCAAAGTCTTACTCATTTGGACCTAGGATGTAACAACCTGCACAACCATGGGGTGAAGCTGTTGTGTGAGGCCTTAGAATATCAGCACTGTAACTTACAGACTTTAGAGTAAGTTATATGGTTCCCTTTAACAGAGTGTCATGTATGTTTGGTAGGTAGAAGGTTGGAAGATGAAATAACACCATATAGATGGAGAATTGAGGCTGAGAATTGAGTCTCTGTTGGGTCAAAAGGTCAGGGTCTCACACATCTCTGGAGCAGGTCATAGTAATGGTCCTTGCTTGTGATAGACACTGTACTTAACCTCTTTATAAATATCTCATTTGATCCAGGATGTAGATGCTATTATTATCTCTATTTTACAATTGAGGAAACTGAGGCAAATAGAAGTTAAGTGGCTTGCCTGGGATGACATAACTAGTAAATAGCTGAGGCTGAATTTAAATTTAGGTCTTGCTGAATCCGGACTCAGTGCCATACCTAGCTGCCCCTAGTCAGAGACCTATGGGCTTCACTAGACTGACAAAAGAGTCCACGAAACACAAAAAAGGTCAAAAACTCTTGTTCTAGGGAGACTGGACAGGGAAATATGAAAGAAAGGAGCATTGGGCCAGGAGTAGGTCTGGATAATGCCAAAGTAAGACTGTACATGGGGCCAAAGGGCCATTGATATAAGCCTATGCTGAGGGATAAATAGGATAATAATAAATCTTGAAGACTAAAGGAGTCATTTTGTTCCCCCACCTTCCATCTCCCCCTCACCCATGAATGCTCCCTACAGGTTGTGGAACTGCCAGCTCTCTGCTGCTTCTTGTTATGCTCTCTCCTCTGTTCTCAAGAAAAACCAAAGTCTGACCCATCTGAATTTGGGTGCTAACCCCCTGCGAAATAATGGGGTGAAAGTGCTATGTGAGGCTCTGGGAAATCAGAATTGTAAATTACAGGAACTGAAGTAAGTTTTCTTAAGCTTTCTTAATGTAAGAATCCCATATTCCTTTAAGGCAAGAAATAAGGATGTCAGATTTGCACCTGGGATGTAACAACTGTTGTGTGAGGCCTTAGAATATCAGGACTATAACTTACAGATCCTAGATTAAGGCATATGTTTCCCTTTAACAGAGTGTCCTTTTTCCTTTTAACAGAGTGGGATTAAGAGGGTTTTGTAGAAGAATGGTCCAAGAAGTCGATACTGAAGGCAGTAGACCCTTTTATTAAGGGAAACTCCAAAAGGAAGGTCATATGGCTTAACTGGAGATACACAAGGGAGTAGAAGACAGGGACAATAATCCAAAGGCCCTGGGGGAATCCAACGGCTCCCTGATAATAAATTCAGATCTCTAGACTAAGGCAGCCCCCTTGAGCCTCTCACATTGAAGTTGGGACCAACACCTTCAAACTAAATTATTTTCCAGTCTTCCACTATAATAGAATTCAGACAGACACCTTCAAAGATTACTGGGAAAAGTCAGGGCAGGCATAATACCATGCATGTCATGAAAGCAGGCATGATGATCTTCTAGTCTAGAATTCTATTCCATTTCATAGCCACTTGCTATTTTCCTTCCAGTGACTTTAGTGGTAAAATCCAATAAAATCCACCTGAACTGGAGTCTGCCCCTCCCTAGAAAAATCTGAGTGATTCTATTTTCTGCATGACTCCCACACTGAGGGAACATCCCTGACCCCTAACTTAAGTGAGCTGCCCTGAAGCAAAGACCTGGGAGTCTGAAAAACATCTTGGTGTGGCCATGCAGATGTTCAGAGGGTGGACTAATCCTAGACTTCCTAGGGACTTTCTCCTTCTACCATAACCTGAAGATTAGCATGCCCATTCTGGGGGTATCTCTGGTTGTGTTCCTTATCTGACTTACACTTTCAAGGGAGGTTATAGGTAATCCATTTCAATCAACTGGTAAACATTTATGAAGCATCTATTATGTGCCAGGCACTGTGCTAAGTTCTGGAGATACAAAAAGAGAGGGGAAAAGTTCCTGCCCTCAAGAGCTTATGCTTTAATGAGAGACACAACATGCAAACAAAGGCACACAAAGCAAGCAATATACAAGATAAATAGGAAATAATTAACAGAGGGAAAGCACTAGAATTAAGAATTAAGAGGAGTTGGAGAAAGCTTCCAATAAATGATGGAATTTTAGTCAGGACTTAAAGGAAGCCCAGGAGGTAAGTAGGTAGAGCCGAGGAGGGAGAATATTCCAGGCATGGGGGACAGCCTGAGAAAATGCCTGGAGCCAATTGATGCAATGTTTTGTTTGTGGAATAACCAGGAGGCCAATGCCACTGGATCAAAGAGTATGTGCACAAGGAATAAGGTATAAGAAGAATGAAAAAAGCAACAGTGGGCTAGATCACCAGGTTCTAGAAAAAGCTAGCACTTCTCAGAGAAAGTTTTTCCTCCTTCTGATAGACCCATGTAAGACTTCCCTGACACATTCTATGGCTGTTCTCATGGAATAATAAATTACTCATCCTCCTAATCTAGACATTGGGTGAGATGATACCTTGGAAAAAGAAGAAAAGGATTCTTGGTTTGGGAGTATCATGAGGTCTAGAAGAGAGGAAAAATGGAGTTAAAATGAGAAAAGACTTTCATATAATTTACTAAGTAACATGAAGTTAGAATAGCATCTCTCCTATGATGTTTTCTCAGCAATTCTGCCCCACTCTAGTACTTTTTTTCTTGGAGATAGTCTCTATCTGTAGCTAAAATATCTTGTGACATCAGTACTGGCATAGATAGAAGAATTTGATGGGACACTTACTTGTTAATAGCACATCCAGAACTCAATACAGACAAATATTGAGACTGGGACATAGTCATGGACTCTACCATTGGTTAGGATTTAAGCCATTGGTTAGGGATTTATCAAGACAGGAAGAGGATAAGGTTAATGATGGAGCCTTGGCTCTTGGGTTGGTAGGGAAGAAAGAAAATCAAAATAGAAGAATTATTAGACTGACACTGCATGTATATTCAAAGGGACTATAAAAATGCATATCTTCCCAGGGAGAAGGAAATGAATAAATTCTTGGGAATAAAATTGTCTTTTTCCATCTGTGCTGTCTCTTCTATAGGTTGTGTAAGTGTCTTCTCTCCGCAGCAGGATGTCAGTATCTCTCCTCTGCACTCAAGAGCAATCAAAGTCTGATACACCTGAAACTTACAGGTAATGGCCTGAGTGATGATGGAGTGAAGCTTCTGTTCAAGGCCTTGGGAAACCAGGATTGTAAACTGCAAAAACTCACGTGAGTCCCAAGCATTCTTTATGGAAATTTCATTTGTGAGTTTGCAAGGACAGAAGGACCCAGGTGAGAAGCGTGAATAGGAGAAAGTTGATTTGATACAAAGCATCTGAACCAGGATTAGGAATCAGTCTGAATCCTGATGAGGGAGGGAAAAGGATTAGGGATTCTAGCCAGTACATTTTCCTGTGAAACTGTCATTCCTCTCTACGTGATGCTATTTGTGTAGCGTGCCCCCAATAGGTGTAAAAGTGTTGCTTTTTATGAAGTGTAGGGAGGTGATTAAGGATTAGTTTTTCTTTTCTTCCACATAATTGTGATAACAAAATGTACTCTGTCCAAGAACTTGAGTTTTCTTCTTCTACCACAATTTTCAGCTCCTTACTGTGAGAAATGTAAATAAATGTATATTTTGTCTCTATGTTGTATGTAAGAATCTATGCAGATGTGCTATTGAACATATCTGATTTAATACAACACAGATTTTCAATACATAAGGCAATGGGAAGACAATTACAAAGCATAGAAAAATTAACAGCCTTTGACTTCAAGGAGCTTATGAGATAATATTTGCAAAACTCTGTAAATCTTTAATCACTATCTAAATGTTAGATATTTGTAAGAGAGGAAACGTTCTTAGGTCTTTTCTTCAAGGTCAAATTTGCTGAATATTATTACATAGCTATGCTGTTGTCACACAGGGAGACACTTGCTGACAAAGGGAAAAAAATTAAAACCAACCAACACATATACCCCACATGTTATATTCCAGACTCATAGTTTTTGCAGAACTGAAACAAAGAGAGTATGGAAATATTTTTTAGTCCTTTTCCAGGAGCAAGTGTGGTGATTATAATTAATAAGACAATAAGCATTTAACAAAATATTAATTAAGTAAACAGTCAATAAGCATTTACAAAGCACTTGTTGGGCACTTTGCTAGATGCTGCAGATACAAAAACAAGAATGAAAAATGTCCTTACCCTCAAGGAACTCATACTCTACCGGTGGGGAAAAAAATAAACAAACAAAAAAAAACACAGGTACGTGTAAAAATGTGCAAAAATACATACAAAAGAAATACAGGGTGATGACGGCATGTTAGAAGTTGGGCAATTACAAAGGACATGAAGACACTAGGGTTGAACTTTAGAAGAAACTAGGGTTTCTGAGAGGTGAAAAAGAGTGACATAGTTTTAGAGCCAGAGAGATCTTAGAGTTCTCCTAGTCTAACTCCCTTATTTTACAGATAAAGAAACTGAGGCCTAGCTAGACAGATGAGGTAATTTGCCTATGGTCACCTCAAAATGGAAAGATCTGAAACCAGTTCCTCTGACATCTAACTCAACTGCTCTTTCAGCTATACCACAAGTAAAGAAAGCATTCTGAGACATTCTTCACATAAAGGCAGAGACAAGAGACAGAGAGTCCTGGGTAAAACAGTCAGAAGGTCAGGTGGGATTAAATGAAGAGCACGTGAAGGGTAATAGTATATAATAAGGCTGGAAAGGTAGGTTGCAGCTAGGTTATGAAGGACTTTAAATGTCCAAAAGAGGAATATACATTTGGTCCTAGGTGTATTAGGAATCCATTAGCATTTACTTAGTAAGCAGTGACGTGGTCAAACCTACACTTTAGAAAAAGTCGCTTTGGTAGCCATGTGGAGGATGAATTGGAGAGGGGAGAGATGAAGAGCAAGACCAACTAGGAGGCTATTGTAATAGTCTATATTATAATAATATAGTAATTATAAAATAACCATCATAATAGAATTATAAAATAATCATGAATAATTATAGCATAATCATTGTTACAAATAGTTTTAAAATTATTATATTATTAGGTACTAGTACAATAATAGAGAGGGAATCAAAGACCTGAAACAGTGTGGTGGTCATTTCAGCAGAGAGAAGGGGACAGATCTAAAAGATAATAAGGCAAAGCTAGGGTGGTATTAGCATCCTGAACCTGGAATCAAGAAGAACTGAATTCAAATATGGCCTCAGACACATACTAGCCATGTGAACAAGAATAAGTCAATTCACTTTCCTCAGCCTCAGTTTCCTCATTTGTAAAACTGAGATAATAATAGTGCCTACCCCCATGGTCAGATGAGATAACATATGTAAAGTGCTTTGCAAACATTAAAGTACTATATGAATGCTAGCTACTATTTGTTGTTGTGGAGATAAAGTCCACAAGACTTGTAATCTATTTGGATCTGTGGGGTAAGAGAGAATGAGTAATCCCTGAGTATGACAGCAAGGCTATAAACCTGTATGACTGGTACTCTCAAATGAAATGGGAAAGTTGGGAAGAGGGGAAGGTTTAGGGGAAAAGATAATGAATTCTGTTTTGAATATGTTGAGTGTAAGATGTCTATGGGCTATCCCATTTGAAATGTCCAAGGAACATTAGGTGATCTGGCACTGGAGCCCATCAGAGAAGCAAGGGCTGGCAATATGCATCTGGGAGTCATCTGCAGAGAGATGATGGAGTCATTGAGAGAGCAGACAAAGAGAGAAGAGAAAAAGCCCAGTATAGAGGCTTGGGGGGGATAGCCATGGTAAAAAAAGGGCACTATTCAGCAAATTAGACTGAGAAGAGGTAGATATATGGGAAGAGAACCAAGAGAGAGCAGTGTCAGAGGGTACAATTTGACATTACTATTCTTCCCCTTTGCACCAGCACACAGGCATTTATATATATATATTATACATATATATATTATATATATATTATGTATAATATATATATATACTTATGTATGCACACACACATATATACACTTGTGCCTACAAAGTACAGAAAAAATGAAAGCCATCTGAGATGGTTTATCATGTCTAATTTCCCTTTTCTTTCCTATTTTGTGCTTATTTGATCCTTTATCCAAAGAGGGAAAAGAACTCTCAGTTCCCAACTCTCCCTTTACATGTTTGTATACGGATCTACTTTCTACTGGGTCAGAAGGAATAATAGAGCATTGGGAATAGAAATCAGAATAATAATTGCATATTGTGTTTCCACAGGCTGGATAAGTGGAAATTAAGTGCAGACACTCAGAGAATCCAAGATGAGCTGAGGCAGAGCAAACCTCATCTGATCATTGAGAATTCAAGTCTGTGTTGATTGTCTCTTTTGGAACTTGGCAGATGTAAAGTGTTGGTGGGAGAACAAAAGGTGACACAGAAATTTTTATGTTGAATTGTTAACTGGAAATTTTTCTTTTATGATAATCTGGAGATAGTTTGGGTAATTGAAAGTCCTGTATGATGAATGCAATGCTCGAGATAAGTCCTTCACACGGCTCTGCCCCAGATCTACTTTTGAAAGTGATTTCAAAAGGCAGATCTGAAAAAACATGGATGACATCAAACCGTGTGAGCCCTGAGGATAAGAAATCCAGCTTCCTTATCCAGTACAGAAACTAGATGTAGTCCTGACTCCAGAAAGAAGGCTTGTACTTCCTACTGTTGATTTTAATAGAATTCTTGGTTGATGTGCTCTCATTCTGGTGATCAGTCCCCATAGAATTACAACCAGCCTTTGACACTGTCAATTGCCGTCTTTTCCCTGAAACTCCCTTCTCTCCGAGTTTTTGTGACACTGCTCTCTCTTGGTTCTCCTCTTTGTCTGAGCACACCTTCTTAGTTGGCTTTGTTGGATCTTCATTCATGTCACATCTGGTTGTCTCGTAAGACCTTGTCTTAGGACCTCTTTTATTTTCTGTCTCCCTCAGTGATCTCATCATTTCCCATGAAGTCAATTATCATCTGTTTGCGGATGATTCTCAGGCTGTTTTATCCAGCCTAACCTCTCTCCTAACCTCCAGTTTTGGATATCCCATAGACATCTTAAACTCAACAAAACTGAACTCATTCTCTTTTCCCCAAAACCTTTTCTACTTATTAATTCCCCTATTACTATGGAAGATACCACCATCCTTCCAGTCATCCAGGCTCTAAACATAAATTGATTCCTCGTATGAATCTGTTGCCAAATTCTGTAAATTTTATCTTCATAGCATCTCTCATAAATATACCTTCTCTCCTACTTTACCCTGGTGTAGGGCCCTTCCCTTCACACCTGAATTATTACAATAGCCTTATGATTGGCCTCCCTGCTTCAAATCTCTCCTCACAACAGTCCATCCTCCATTCAGCTGCCAAAGTGATCTTAACTGTAGGTATGACCATGTTACTCTCCTACTCCATAAACTCCAGGGTCAATTATAAAATCCTCTGTTTGGCTTTTAAAGCCCTTCATAAAATGGATCTTTCCTACCTTTCCATTCTTCTTAACAATCTTTCTTCTCTCCACGTACTTTACAATCCAGTGACAATGAGTTTTCTTCTCCTTGCAAAAACATTCTTTATCTCCCAGGATTTTTGCTGTCTTTTGCCTCAGGCTTGGAATGCTCCTCCTCTTTGTCTCCACCTTCTGGTTTTCCTGGTCTATTTAGTATCAGCTACAATCCCATCTTTTGCAAGAAACCTTCTCCTGTCCCCCTTAATGCTAGTACTTTTCCTTTGAAATTGTTTCTAATTTATCTTTTCTATATCTTGTATGTACATAGTTGTTTGCATGTTATGTACACCATTAAATTCAGGTCCTTGAGAGCAAGGATGGTACTCGCCTTTGTTTGTACTCCCAAGGGTTTAGCACAGTTTTTGGCACATACTAAGTGAGAAATAAATGCTTGTTTACTTGAATACTTAATTGAGACTCTTTGAATCAATTTGCTACATATAACTTTCATGATAGCATAGATTTACAAGTCATTTTGTGACTATAATCATAAATGGCTTCATTTCCCTCCATGTATTGTTCTCATTTATCACCTAATTACATTTGAAAAGATATTTTCCTTTTTTTTTCTTGTTGGAGTCAAATTGGAGAAGAGAAGACCTGGAGAAACCAGTGTGAAGACTCTTTGAAGAGAAAAAGGGTTTGCAGTCACTGCATTATGTATACTGTATACTATATGTGTCCCTCATTCCCATTGCACTCTAAGTTTGAGCATGCTCTTTAAATGAAGTTGTGTGTTTGTGGGTCCCTTTCAGCTCTCAGTCAGTTATACTATTGGACAACCTCCAAAGCAGACTATTCTATTTTTGGACAGTTCTAGTTTTTAGATGCAAGCTTGATATTAGGAAATACTTCCTGTCTTTTAGTTGCTACACACTAGTTCTTATTTTGTCCTCTGGGGCCAAAATGAGGAGAAAAATGCCTCATCAAAATATTTAAAGATAATAGTTATCCCTCCCTCTCAAGGAGTTTGCTGGAGCCAGCTCTGATCTGGTGAGGGCTGGGTGTTAAATTTTTGCTGTGAGCATTTACCAGCTCAGAAATTGGCAAATTAAAAATCTGGGCTTGATTTATTGCTTTGTTGATGGTCCAGATTTAAGAAAGAAAAGGAGAAAGTAGTGGTAATGTAGATTGAACTGAATCATATTACACATACTTTTTGTTTTCAAAGAGCCATTATTAAACATACCTCCCCTAATTTATGTGTTTACTGATTTTTTGTAATCCAAGTGCAGGCCCTGAAATTTCATGGAGATACAGGTAGGCCCTTCGAGCCTGTTGAGATCTATTTGGATCCTGATTCTGTGATCTAATATTTTAGCATTCTCTACCAGTTCAGAAGATCATATGAGAGATGAGTCTTGAAACAAGGAAGGCATTTCAATAGATAGAAATATAGAGAAGTTCACCAAATCTTCATGAAAGAGATCGAACTAGACCTAGATCTTAAAGGATTGGTGGGTTTTGAATAAGTGCAAAAGAAGGAGGGCTTTTCACTAAGAGAACATGCCCAAAGTCACAGGCATAAAAACAATCATCCCTCTGCTAGTCTAATGAAGGCACTGGACCATAAGCTATTTTGTCTATTGCATTATAAACTGCTAATACCCTTAGATGTATTATCTTTGTTGTGTTGCCAAGTATTCCAATTTACATCGAGCCTCCTTTACTGGATCTTTCTTATGACTCTACCATTGCCATCTGTTGAATGAGAGTTGTTAAACATTTTTCCATAAAAAGGAAAAATGTTTTTTAAAAGCACAAAATCTCAAGAGCTACCTCAGCTCCATTGTGTTAAACCCCAACCACACTTGACCCGTCAGCCAGCCAGTCAGGGAAAAGGGTGTTAGAGTTCTGTGTTCAGTCATATTTTAGTCATGTCTGACCCTTTGTGACCTCATTTGGGGTTTTCTTGGCAAAGATACTGGAATGTTTTGCCATTTCCTCCCCTGGCTCATTTTATAGATGAGAAAACTGAGGCAACAGGGTTAAGTGACTTACCCAAGGTCACACAGCTAGTAAGTATCTGAGGCCAGATTTGAATTCAGGAAGACTCTTCTTTCTGACTCCAGGCCAGCACAATATCCACTGCAACACTGGTTAGGTCCATCCATTGAAGCAGTTTGCTTCTATGAAAGCTGTCACTCCTTAAAAACAGCCTACTCTTTGAGTTAGGATGACAAAATTCCATTCATCTCTCATCATGTCCATGATTGCTACCTTGAGGCTATGAAAATCATCTTCAGGAATTTAGCAAGACTGAAGGGATTAGAAGAAGCTGATCAATTTTGTCTTGCTTTCCTGATTGCAAAGAAATTGCTATTCTCTCTGCAAAGAGGGTTAAGAGACATTTCTTAAAAGACAAATTGTCAAAATAAATGAATAGGCAGTTTTCTAGAGAAGATGTGAATTGTCAATAACCCTGTGAAATAATATTCAAGATCACTAATTGTAGTATGTACATACATACATACATTAACTTTGACGTAAGAAGAAACTTCCTAGCAGTTAAAGTTGGCTTCAAAGTGAAATAGTCTGCCTGGAGGGCTCCTCTTCCCTCCCCAGAGGTTTTCAAGGAAAGATTGGATGACTATATACTGGTGATGGCATAGAATAAGGGTTTTTAACCTAGAGGAAAAAATTCCACCTTTATTTTACTCACTTCTAACTGAAATTTAGCAATTCCTTCAATAGTGAGTTTTAAAAATATTGAGGGAGTCCATGGACTACACCAGACTGCCAAATAGGTCCATCACAAACATACACACATTTAAAATTCTTATTGCAGAAGGTATAATTGATTAGGAATGAACTGGGATTAGTAATTGCTAAGGTTACTTCCAGCTCAATGTTTTGCTAATTCTGTTATTGCTGCAGATATCTAGAGGTCTTTATAGTTTTATAACCTGTGTTGGGGCAAAGACTTTGATTTTAAAGGTATTCTAAATGTTTTGTAATAGATCAAAAGCTATCCCACATGTTAGTGGAAGAAAGTATTCAAATGGAGACATTGTATCATCAATGCTCAATGAAGCTTAATGCATGACTGTGAGGAAGATGTTGCAAGATGCTTCTCTTATATTTCCACCTATGATCTCCCTTTGAGGGACCCCAAGCATCAGGGGTATAACAGATGTAGCATGTAAAACCCAATACAATTGAGAAAGTGGACAGTGATTAGCTAAATGAAACTCCCTCCCAGAGGGATTAGTATTTTAATGTTTTATATTAGTGGATTGGAAGACTAAGAAGCCATCATGATTTGGCTTCCTTCAAGTGTCAGCTCAAATTCTGCTGTCTGCAGGAGGTTTTTTCAAATACCCCAAGTTATAGTATCTTCCCCTAGGAGACTGGTTCTGATCTACTCTGTATATAGTTCTTCTTTTCTTTTTTTTTTTGTACCTATGTGTTTGCATATTGGCTCAGCTATTAGAATATAAGCTCCCGAAGGACACAGGTCCAAGTTTTTGTCTTTTTTGTGTCCTTAAGGGCATAGCATAGTGCCTGGCATACAGAAATTTTTGCAATAATGCTTGTTGACTCACTTATCACAAATAATAAATATTTTTGATTAAAGTCCTGAGAGAAGAAACATGGTGTCTGAGATATCATTAATATGGAAGTAATTTGACTAAGATGATCACTAGTATGATTTGAGAAGTGCTACAAACTACCCAGTATGTGAGATCAACCTTGCTAGGAATGAATGATAGTCATATAAACAACATTTCAGTATGTCTACTTACTTCTGAGCCTGTACCCCGCATCTGGATTCACTGTCTTCCATTACAAACACTTGAGTAGGTCTTTTCTCTTTTGTTGAGTTTTGGCAGATATGGTCAGCAAGGCTGGTGGTCACTGCATTCCACACTCGCACCCGGATACGCTTTGTCTTCAGGCCATAAATAAGAGGGTTCAGCATAGGAGGGATGACTAGGTAGAAATCAGCAAGCAGCACCTGGGTATGTAAGGGCACCATCTCCTGCCCTAACCAGGCCATATAGATGGACACCATGGCTGGCAAGTAGTAGAGGATCATGACACTCACATGTGAACCACATGTGCTGAGTGCTTTGACCCGTGCATCTCGAGAGGGGAGGCTGAACACAGCCTGGAGGATCAGACTGTAGGAGGTAGCAATAAAAGTCACATCAATCCCCACAATGATGAAGGAAACAATCAAGCTATAAAGACTGCTGGGCATGTGATCACCGCATGCCAACTTGGCCACAGCCATGTGTTCACAGTAGGAATGGGGCACCACATGGGAGGCACAGTATGGCAGATGGACCACCATCCAGGTCATTGGAGTCATAGCTGTAATAGCTCTTGCTATGATGGCCATGCCCATCCCTATCATGGTCCGTGGAGTGAGGATGGTTTGGTAGTGCAGAGGTTTACAGATGGCTATATAGCGATCAAAGGCCATGGCCAGGAGTAACCCTGTTTCTATTGCTGTGGTGGCATGGACAATGTACATCTGGGTGAAACAGGCAGTAAAGCCAATGATGCCATTGCCTGACCAGAAGATGTTCAACATCTTGGGAGTCACAGAGGTTGACATGACAATGTCCACAGCAGCCAGGACACATAGAAAGTGATACATGGGCTCATGCAGGGCACTGTCTGTCCAGATCACGGTCACGATGATAATATTTCCTAATAGAGCTACAGAGTACATGGCACTCAGTGGGACTGCCAGCCAAAGGTGGGCTGCCTCCAGCCCTGGGACACCCAAAAGAATGAAAGTAGCTGTGTTCAGTAATGTGTGGTTGGAGGGAGAGCCCAACATCATAGGGGAGACTTCTTCCCTGCAGACAAAGCCACAAAAGTGATGAGACCAGAGACCAGAG